ACATAAAATCAGCAATAACTGAAGCAGCCAAAACAGACATACAAAGTTGCCCAATAGCCCAGCAATAATTGCAAAACATGAATATGATATTGTTAGGGTAGAATTTCTTGATAGACACATACATAGATGTCTGTACAGATGTTATATTTATCTTGAATTTCAATCCCCGCTCAGCCATAAAAACACATTGGGTGGCGTTAGATAGATCACACTATCTCAGCCTCACAAGATATGCGATCTCTGTATCATCTTGTGAGCTCGTAAAATACTGAACAGAATGCCAATTGTTATTTTATCGGCCTTGGAAGCTTTTGGTTAAAAAGCTACTCTTTCAGAATTAAAAACTCTCTAAAATGCATGAATGAATAAGCTGCTAAAACTTTCAGTCTGACACTTACATTCCCAGATCAGCATGGGACTAAATCTCTCATAAAACCACAATATAAAGTGATATTATAACTCTCCTGTTGCATGTTTCTATCTGTTTTACCCCCATCCTTTTGATTGTTTTCGTTGATCAACAGAGCCTTTTGTTATTCCGATGGGCAAAAGTCGTTCGATTTTTGCTTTCTCAGCCTCTTTTATGATCTTCTCATTTGATATACGGTCATCTCTTTGCACTCTGTCTCTCCTTTCCTATACTTTCCATTTTTCATGGCCTGCTGGGTATTCAGTTGCAGAAAGTGCGCTCATTTGGGTTTGATGTTTTAATAGCCAAATAAAAAAGTATTGCCTCCTTTCTCTTTCTGTTTTATGGCTTATTTTAGAAAAAAAAAGATATTTATTCAGAAAATGCAAATGGATTTACAGCAGAGATGCTGTGTTCGGATTCTCTGCAACGCCATAAATTTAATGAAAAGAGAAACTATTGCATGACCATAACTAAAGCTTACAGATCAATTTGGGGAGATGCTATGCAACCTAAACACCAAATTTCATTGGATCAAGCATTTTGGCCCTCGTACACTACCATTTTATCTGCATTTTTGACTTGTAGAAGATATACAGAGCTCAGCCTACAATGATGTTTCATGTTACCTGTACAGAGCACAGTGAAAGAGAAGGAATAGTGGATTGGCTGTGGCTAGGTGAAGTGGCCCTCTGTGATGTGACTGAGAAAGAATGGGAGTGAAGTAACATGTCTGCTGCTATATGATAAGTTTGTGGGAGGAGGAAAGGGGGGAGGGAGAGAGGAAGGAACAGAGGGATGGGAAAGAAAGAAAGAAAGAGAGAGAGAAAGAAAGATAGAAAGAGAGAGAGAGAGAGAAGGGAAGGAAGGAAGGCAGAGAAAAGAAAGAGGGAATGGTATGAGGGGAGGAAAACAAAGAAAGACGAAGGAAGGACAGAAAGAAAGGATGAAGGACAGGAAGGAAGGAAGGAAGCAAAAAGGAAGGAAGGAAGGAAGGAAGGAAGGAAGGAAGGAAGGAAGGAAGAAGGGAGCGGTATATGAGGGAAAACAAAGGCAGAATAAAAGAAAGGGGGAGGGAGAAGGTGCATGAGGGAAATGTGGAAGGAAAGAACAGTCACAAAGAGAGCATGCACATTGTTGCCTGAGTCTTACCAAATAGGGTAAGACTTCTTAGAGCTGGAGAAGGAAGAAAGTCCCAGTGATATCCAGGCAATGCTGGGTAAGATGAAGGTAAAGGTTTCCCCTTGACATTAAGTCTAATTTAGTCTGCATTAGGCGGTGGTGCTCACCTCCATTTCTAAGCCAAAGAGATGGCTTTGTCCGTAGATGCTTCGAATGTCATGTGGCCAGTATGACTGCGTGGAGCACTGTTACCTTCCACTTAAGTGGCTGAGGGGGAAAAGGAAGGGGGCTGAGGCTGTTAGGAATGGTGGAAGTCCAAAACACCTGGAGGACCCAAATTTGCCCATGCCTGGTCTATAGTCAGCCCTCTACATCCACTGGGGTCCTGGGCACAAAATTTCCATGAAAATGAAAAACTGAAAATAAATAAATTGCTATTCTTTTACCTAAAGACCAACAAAATACTGTGGCGAACTTTCATTGGAAGCTGAACATGACCTCTTTTTTTTTTTTGGAGGATATAAAGATTCCTAGATATGTGTTCTTGCTAGAAATCTCTAGTCCCCCGACATGATTGGAGTACGTCGACCATGGATTCACACCAGGGAGAACATTTTAAATCAACTCCATGAATAACCAAATCCCCAAAAATGTGGATGGACAGCTGTGATATGGACATAGTTATAGACTTGGCAATGAAAAGTTCAAAGCATTCTACAGGGTGTAAATGCAGACAAAGCCTCTTAAATGCGTCCAACTTTGGGCTGGAAATGATGTGATTTTCTCAGGCAGGTTGGACCCTTTTATCTCCAACAAAACATGTGGCTCATTGTGTCCAAGTGCCATTAATTGGCAGCTTTTGAGTCGCATTTGGTGGAAGATATCAGGCAATCAATACAGGTCTCTGTTTAATGTACAGGGGATTTATGTTCATTTAGCAGCCTGAAGCCTAGGATTAAAATCTTTCAAATTCACCCACTTCTTCCTGCTTTTCATCTCAAATCTGTAGTTGTGAAGAGTAGTCACGCAGTAACTTTAAAGAAGAGCTTTCTCATTTGGTTACTCATTTCAAGCTACCATCTTGTTTCTGATACCAGAAGATGTTCCAAAAACAAAGGTTATTGTTTGTGTCTTCATGAGTCATTTACTTTGGGGTCAAGTCCCATAGTGTTTTATGATACTTACTTTCAGGAAAGTGTGCACAGGATATGGATTGCCAAAATACCTTCCAACAGTCACACTTTAAATGGGACAATCCTGTCATCTCTGTCAGCCTACTATGTATTTCATTTCATTTCAGTTGTATGGCATCCCCCCCCCCCCCAGGTTGCATCTACACTGTTGAATTGATGCAGTTTAACAGCACTTTAACTACCATGGCTCGATGCTATAGACTCCTCAAAGGTGTCATTTTGCAATGTCTTTAGCCTTCTCTGCCAAAGAATGCTGGTGCTTCACATAAATACAAATCTCAGAATTCCATAGCATTGCACCATGACAGTTAAAGCGACATGAAACTACATTAATTCTACAGTGTATACAGTGCATATGATCTTTAAACTCCTTTGCCAATTCTGGTGCCTCACAAAACTATGACTGAGTTGCTGTGAGTTTTCTGGGCTGTATGGCCATGATCCAGAAGCATTCTCTCCTGACGTTTCGCCCACATCTATGGCAGGCATCTTCAGAGGTTGTGAGGTCTGTTGGAAACTAGGCAAGTGGGGTTTATATATCTGTGGAATGTCCAGGCAGGCTTTGAAGCTGCAAGGCCAATCCATGCTAATCAAGCTGACCAATTGTAACATTCACACTTGCCTCAAACAAACAAGAGTTCTTTCTCCCACCCTGGATATTCCACAAATATATAAACCCCACTTGCTACTTTCATCAAAGGACAAGAGGGATCCTCTCACCTCTGCAGGAGTCTGCCGTATACCATGCAGCTGTGGACAAGTCTACACAGGGGCCACCAAACGCAGCGCCCAAACATGAATTAAAGAACATGTAAGGCACTGCAGACTACTTCAACCAGAGAAGTTGGCCATAGCAGAGCACCTGATGAACCAACCTGAACACAGCATATTATTTGAGACCACTCTAACAACTACCATGTCAGACTACATGGAGAAGCTATTGAAATCCACAAGCATGTGACTGGACAATTTCAACAGAAAGGAGGAAACCATGAAAATGAACAAAATCAGGACAGTAAATAAACACTCAAAAAGTAGGGACATTTCAGACAAGATACACGCCAACAGACCTCACTACCTCTGAAGATGCTTGCCATAGATGCAGGCACAACGTCAGGAGAGAATGCCTCTAGAACATGGCCATATAAGCCGAAAAAACCAAGCCCGTACCTTGGGAAGTCTGACTTGGCCACGGTAGTCCACGCTCTGGTTACATCCTGCATAGATTACTGCAACGCGCTCTACGTGGGGTTGCCTTTGAAGACGGCCCAGAAGCTTGAAATGGTCCAGCATGTGGCAGCCAGGTTGCTAACAGGAGCGGGGCTCAGGGAGCACACAACTCCTCTGCTGCGCCAGCTCCAGTTTGGCTGCCAGTTTGCTACCGGGCCCAATTCAAAGTGCTGGCTTTAGCCTATAAAGCCCTAAACGGTTCTGGCCCAGCCTACCTATCCGAACGCATCTCTTCCTACGAACCCTCCAGAAAGTTAAGATCATCTGAGGAGGCCCTGCTCTCGATTCCGTCTGCTTCGCAAGCACGCTTGGCGGGGACGAGAGACAGGGCCTTTCTCTGTGGTGGCCCCTCGGCTGTGGAACTCCCTGCCTAGGGATATTAGATCAGCCCCCTCCCTTCTGACCTTTCGTAAGAGAGTGAAAACCTGGCTCTTCGAGCAGGCATTCGGAACCCCGGAATAATCAAGCTTGAGATGGAGAATGACCCAGGAATGGCCAAGACGATGAAACGGATGAGGTTTGGATTGAGAGGATATAGCTCTTTTAAAATTGTTATTGCACTGTCTTTTTTGTCTAGATGCACATAATTGTTTTTGCTTTTGTATTGATGGCATCGAATTGTGCCGATGTAGACCGCCCTGAATCGCCTGTGGGCTGATATGGGCGGGATATAAGTGATGTAAATAAATAAATAAATAAATAATTTTTATTTATATAGATTTAATTTATGATGAATTTTCTCCTGCACTTTGAATCCATTGACCCATGGTGTCCTAATCTCCAGACCCTTCCTCAATGTGACATCAGAAAAGTGCAAACAAGATGAGCAGTTAAAAGTGGTGTCAAAGTGCATCCCTTCTACAGTGTGGATGCACCCCGAGACAGAGGAAAGAAACCCAGCAGCGTGGACACACATCCATCCTCCAAAGCATTTGGAGAGCTGCCAAGCATCCTGGACTCATTGAAACCCCACCAGGAAGGTGGGGACCACTTTGAGCGGCATTGCCCTTTTAAGAAGGGATCTTTCTCTCCCCCCCTCTCCCCTCCCTTGTCCCCCATCCGAGGTAGAGCTTTTCTTCTTGGGGACTCTTTATTTCACAAAGCGCCGAACTGAGGGCTGTTCTCCCGTCGGGTCCCTTTCTGGCGGCGGGGCTGCAGAAGGTGGCTTGTCCTCAGGCAGGGAGGAAGGAGGGTCGACCCCAGGGGCGCTGGAGGGGGCTGAGAGCCAGGCAAGGATGCTGTCCGGAAGGAGAGCCTGGTGAAGCCGTCCAGGGTCGAGAAGCAAGAGGTCTGGGGTCCGGCCACGAGTTTCGGGAAGGATGGGATGTTGCACCGGGCGCTGCACTTTGATTCTCCTCTGCACTTTACAGCTGGTAAGTCTGCCCAAGAGGGGGTTTGTCTTGTTTTGAGGGGATGGGACCCCTTTTGGGGCTCATTGTAGCCCCAAAACTCCACCTTTAGAAACCTTTTAAAGGTAAGGAACATGAGTTGAAGTCAATTGGAGTTGAGTTTCTGCCCTCCTGTTGAAACCAGGAGCTGGAACTGGGACCAGGGGCGCATCTACACGGCAGAATTAATACAGATTGACTCCGCTTTCACTGCCATTGGCTCAAGAATCTTGTGACCCAAGGCGAGGGGTCCTGTGACTCCTAAGACTCCTAATATTCCATAGCAATGAGCCATTGCAGTCCAACTACTGCCCAACTGCATCATTTCTAGAGTATAGATCAGGCATGGGCAAAATTTAGCTATCTGGGTATTTTTTACTCCAACTCCCACACTTCCGAACAGTCTCAAGCCCGTTCCTTCCCCCCCTCAGTTGCCTAAGAATGCTCTTGGTTTGTCCATGAACTATAAATCCCAGCAACTACAATTCCCAAATGTCAAGGTCTATTTTCCCCAAACTCCACTAGTGTTCACATTTGGGTATATTGAGCATTTGTGCCAAGTTTGGTCCAAATCCATCATTGTTTGAGTCCACAGTGCTCTCTGGATGTAGGTGAACTACAACTCCCAAACTGAAGGTCAATGCATACCAAACCCTTCCAGTATTTTCTGTTGGTTATGGGAGTTCTGTGTGCCAAGTTTGGTTCAATTCCATCGTTGGTGGAGTTCAGAAAGCAGTTTGATTGTAGGTGAACTATAAATCCCAGCAACTACAACTCCCAAGTGTCAAGGTCTATTTTCCCCAAACTCCGCTACTGTTCACATTTGGGCATATTGAGGATCCATGCCAAGTTTGGTCCAAATCCATCATTGTTGGAGTCCACAGTGCTCTCTGGATGTAGGTGAACTACAACTCCCAAACTCAAGGTCAATGCCCACCAAACCCTTCCATTATTTTATGTTGGTCATGTGAGTTCTGTGTGCCAGGTTTGGTTCAGTTCTATCATTGGTGGAGTTCAAAAAGCTGTTTGATTGTAGGTGAACTATAAATCCCAGCAACTACAACTCCCAAATGACAAAATCAATCCCCACCACACCAGTATTGAAATTTGTGCATATTGGTTATTTGTGCCAAATTTGGTCCAAAATACCCAGAGGGTCAAAGTTTGCACATGCCGGGTGTAGATGCATCTGAGTGTCCTTTCCTTCCAATTGAAGAAGACCTGTCGAAGTCAGTGGAGTAAACCGACCCAGCTGGATTGCCTTCGATGTGTTTCTACTAAGGGGTCAGACTGGATTGAGACTTGGTCATTCCTTTTAACTGAATTGAGATGGAACAGGGAGGGCATCTTGAGACCCCATTGAGATGAACAGGAAAGGAGTATTGTCCCAACACCATCCACTTCAATGGGTTTCTTCTAAGGAGGGCACAGATTGGATAGAGATGAAGATTATCCCTTCCTATTTGAAGGAGATCCATTGGGGTGAATAGTACCGATTGGTCCTGCACCACTTACTGATCATCCTTTCTTGTTGACTAGCCAGAATGCTGTAGGGGTTTGAGTGCTGAACAAGGGGTCCATCTTCACCAGTGGTTCTCAACTTTCCTAATGTTGCAACCCTTTAATACAGTTCCTCAATGTTGTGGTGAACCCCAACCATAAAATTATATTTTAGTTGCTACTTCATAACTAACTTTGCTACTGTTATGAATTGTAATGTAAATATCTGATATGCAGGATGTATTTTCATTCACTGGATCAAATTTGGCACAAATATCCAATATTCCAAAATTTGAATACTGGTGGGATTGGGTGGAGGGGATTGATTTTGTCATTTGGGAGTTGTAGTTGCTGGAATGTATAGTTCACCTACAATCAAAGAGCATTCTCAACTCCACCAATGAAGGAATTGAACCAATTTTGGAACACAGAACTCCCATGACCAACAGAAAATATTGGAAGGGTTTGTTGGGCATTGAGTTGTAGTTCACCTACATCCAGAGAGCTGTGTGGACTCAAACAGTGATGGATTTGGACCAAACTTGGCATGAATACTCAATAGGCCCAAATGTGAACACTAGTGGAGTTTGGGGAAAATAGACCTTGGGAGTTGTAGTTGCTGGGATTTATAGTTCACCTACTATCCAAGAGCATTCTGAACCCCACCAATGATAGAATTGGGCCAAACTTCCCACACAGAACCCCCATGACCAACAGAAAGTACTGTTTTTTGATGATCTTTGGCGACCCCTCTAACACTCCCCTTGTGACCCCTTCCAGAGTCCAACCACCATAGAATCATAGAATCAAAGAGTTGGAAGAGACCTCATGGGCCATCCAGTCCAACCCCCTGCCAAGAAGCAGGAATATTGCATTCAAATCACCCCTGACAGATGGCCATCCAGCCTCTGCTTAAAAGCTTCCAAGGAAGGAGCCTCCACCACACTCCAGGGCAGAGAGTTCCACTGTCGAATGGCTCTCACAGTCAGGAAGTTCTTCCTAATGTTCAGATGGAATCTCCTCTCTTGTAGTTTGAAGCCATTGTTCTGCGTCCTAGTCTGCAAGGAAGCAGAAAACAAGGTTGAGAAATTCTGATCTACACTGTAAAATGAATGTGGTTTCACTCTAGTTTAACTGCAGTGTCTCAATCCTATATAATTGGAGGATTTGCCGCTTGGTGAGGTTCCAGCACTATTTGGCAGAGAAAGCTAAACTACAGCTATCATGGTTCCATATCACTGAGCTGTGTCACTAAAAGTGGTGTTAAACTGCATTCATTCTACAGTGTAGATGCTTCTAGGACACTGGAAGACCAGGGCTTGGATCTTTGCTAAACCCTCTGCAAGTCACACTCTCTCAGCCTTGTAGGAAGGCAATGGCAAATCCCATCAGGACAAATCCTGCTGAGAAAACCCCCTAAAAGAGCCACTTTAGGAGTTGCCTTAAGTCCAAAATAACTTAAAGGCATGCAACAAAAACAAGCTGGTTCCATTTATTCCCATGGGTTGCTTCCTATAGGATTGAATGTGCTGGCTTGAGTCCTGGTCCATTTTCAAGTCTGTTTCCAGCGATACCCGAAGGACTTTTCACAAAACATGCCTGAAGTTTCAGAACTGGCTGCTGCTTTCAGAGGAATCCCTGGATGTTGTCTCCAGCCCAGTTTCTGTGGTTTATTTTGGCTGGGCACAATCCTTCATTCCCTTTCCCCCAAAGGCACAGAATAATTAAAATGATTAATAGTCATATTCAAATGGTTAATGCTGACTGATACTACTCTTGGACTCTCTTCTTTTGTCTGACATTTACTTAACGAACGTCTTACAATCCATACAAAGAGTTGTAGTGTCCTGGTTGCATTAAACAATTACATCTCACCCCCACCCACCTTGGTTGCTGTCACTCTCTTTGCCAAAAAGGTAATCTAGGCTAATACTGGAATCAGAACAAGCTTTGCTGGAGCACGCCAGCTCTCTTTGACTAGTTTTTGCCTTGTGCTTGTGTGTGCATGACCACACTCCCTCCAAGTGGATTAGTTTTTGTAAAACCACCTTTCTTTGGGTTCCCTCAACAAAGCAATAAATGAAAATGCAGATTTCCACCTCCTGCCTGCTTCTTTTCAAGATATCCATAGGGTGAAGCAGAGAGTCTAAAACCAGATGAGCAAATGTCTGAGGATGGAGCCAAGTGTCACAGTGGGATTCCAGAGAAATTGAACCCCAAACTTGAGTACACACATTATTGTCATCATTGTTTTCATAATCAACAAGCCTTCTAGTTGTAGTACTTTTAACACACATGATGGTGAAGATAGTGGTTAACATAATGTGGAGTACACCTATACTGTAGACTTAATGCAGATGAACATCACTATAAATGCCGTGGATCACTGATATGGAATTCTGAGATTTGTAGGTTGGTGAGGAACCAGCTCTCTTTGGAAGACAAGACTAAAACCACACTTCTCAACCTGGGGGGGGGGGGGGGGGGGGTCACCAAAGACCATAAAAAAGCACAGCATTTTCTGTTGTTCATGAGGGTTCTGTGTGGGAAGTTTTGCTCAATTCTATCGTTGGTGGGGTTCAGAATGCTCTTTGATTGTAGGTGAACTATAAATCCCAGCAATGACAACTCTGTTTTCCCCAAACTCCACCAGTGTTCACATTTCAGCATATTGAGTATTTGTGCCAAGTTTGGTCCAGATCCATCATTGTTCAAGTCCACAGTGCACTCTGAATATAGGTGAACTACAACTCCAAAACTTAAGATCCATGCCCACCAAACACTTCCAGTACTTTCTGTTGGTCATGGGAGTTCTGTGTGCCAAGTTTGGTTCAGTTCCATCATTGGTGGAGTTCAGAATGCTCTTTGATTGTAGGTGAACTATAAATCCCAGCAACTACAACTCGCAAAGGACAAAAATCAATCTCCCCAACCCCACCAGTATTGACATTTGGGCATATCGATTATTTGTGTCAAATTTGGTCCAGTGACTTAAAATACATCCTGCATATCAGATATTTACGTTATGATTCATAACAGTAGCAGAATTACAGTTTTGAAGTAGTAATGAAAATAATTCTATGGTTGGGGGTCACCACAACATGAGGAACTGTATTAAGGGGTCCTGGCATCAGGAAGGTTGAGGACCACTGATCTAAAACTACAGCACCCTTTGAGCCAAGACAGGTAAAGTTGTGTCAGATTGCATTAATTTTTCAGTGTAGATCAGGTATGGGCAAACTTTGGTCCTCTAGGTGTTTTGGACTTCAACTCCCACAATTCCTAACAGCCGGTAGGCATTTTGGGAATTAGGAGTTGTGGGAGTTGAGGTCCAAAACACCTGGAGGGCCAAAGTTTGCCCATGCCTGGTATAGATGCATGCCTGAAGGCTAACTAATTCCTGGTATATGCCACTGAAATTCAGTGATAATTTATTGTATTACATTTTCCTTTGTCTGCCGACGAAAGAGGCAGGGAACCATCCA